ATAGTTTTGTTTTAAACAGACTCGAATAAATTTACGAGAGATTAACCCAATGAAGAAATGATTGAAAATAATAAATAAAAGTGATCTTTTTTATGCTGCATGCTACATGGGAATATACTGCAACATAAAGATAAAGCAGTATTTTGTCAGTTACTTCTTTTACACTTAAGCTAAATTTAAGCGCGTAACATTTTTAAACTGTTATAGTCTAGGCCTAAAGAAAAGCGTAGCACGCACCTCTGCATGACCCTTTAGTATAAAAGTAAATTCAACCTAAAGTCTGACTGCGTCAACCTTGTTGCACCGGCTAGTGCTGTCATTTGTCCGCCTTATTTACCCAATGTCTGTGGGCGATACAGTACAAACTAGGAACGAAAAGGTTGACCCGGCTCGGAAATTCAAATGTATACTATCAAGGATTTGTGAGTGCGACACTTTTAAGTCGAAGTAAACTGCTCTAATAATTTGATGACTGTAGGTTTCAGAGTTGTCTATGCCTCAGGAGGGAGGGGGGGGGGCATGCGGCCATGAGCCCAGAAATATCCGGTTCGAACCCAGGCAGAACCCTGCCCGAACCCCGCGGTTGAATATTTCTGTAATAACTGTATAGATATATATAGAGATCAGCTGAAACTTTAAATATATAGAGAGATAGATTAGATAAAACTTAGATAGATATATAGATAAATAGATAGATAGATATATAGAAAGATAGATAGATAGATAGATAGATAGATAGATAGATAGATAGATAGATTGATAGATAGATAGATAGATAGATAGATAGATAGATAGATAGATAGATTGATACAGCTAGTAGGCTGGTCAGATCTATATAAACAGAGGCAGTTGTCCCAGCTAGCTCACGCCGGTCATAGTAGAAAGAATAGAGAATGAGAGCTAGATACTAGAGAGAGATTGCAAATATCAAATTTCTATTTCTATTTACTTTGACAAGTTAAACTAGTAATATAAAGGATTCACATGACAATATCTGATTAGGGAATATTGCCGTGATTACGAAAGTGACAATATATTTAAATATTTCTGGATTAGGATGGATTGACAATATATTTAAATATTTGGTATCTCTGAATCCGATCAGCAAGTAAAAAAGAGGATTATATCTTCCTTTTCTTAGCCTTGAAAAGAGACAAATTCTGTCTCTGCGTCTTTTTTTTCATTGTGTCTACTGCATAAGTCCGCGGGTACAGCGACTAAAAATTATCAATTTGTAGAAAGTAAAACAGAGAAAGCAAGATTTTCTTGTTTTAATTAAAAGTTAAAATTTGAAAATTGGGCAGCTAGCTTTTCAAATTTGGGGGTGACTTGGCAAACCCTTAAAGAACCTTAAAAATATAGAAAAGAAAATGTAAGCGTAATAATTTCAAGTGACCCTCCATGCAAAGATGGCAATTTTCGATGTACAACGGAACCCTCAAGGAGTATGATATAAAAGAGAGATACAACTGACGCGGCTCACCCTACAATATGATTATACATGCTCCATTTGTATAAGAAATATTCAGAATAGGTTATTGTATACGAGGTAATTGTACCTCAGACAAATATTTCTTATTCAAATGAAGTACCGTCTGCAAAGACTGTATAATCAAATCAAATGGTAGTTAGTTGTATTCTATTTTATACTCCTTAAAAGCTTCTTCTGATCAATTTCATTTGTAGTTTTTCTGCAAAAGTGACTTGGGTATTTCTAAGTTATGAGAAACAATAGAGAAATTATCATAATCAAATATTTTCTACTCAGATAAATATTTCTGTCATATTTTATTAAAAAATAAAAGCTGCAGAATTGAGGATATGTATGTGGATGTTTATTTAAATAGCGGGATGTAAAATTAACATTTAAAGGGAAAAATGAATGTATTTAAACATTTTAAAGTTCAAAATGTCCGTAAATTGGAACAAAAATAGACGCAACTTTTTGATAAATTTCAAAAAATTATTAAAAACTATTTTAAGATTTTTTAAAAAAATGTTAACATTATCTCTAGATTTTTTCTACACAGTCACGTTTTATAATTTTTACAATTTTTTCCGACTTTCATTTCAGGATTAACATTTTTTTGATAAAAACATGATTTTGAAATAAAAAAAACTAAAATAGTTTTAAAGAGATTGAACTAACATACATTAATATTTATTTTTTAATATTTTTTAAACAGTCACGTTTTTTAATCTATTTTTTAACAGAATTGGTCTCCTACATCCTAATATTATTTATTTATGATCAAAAAATAATTTTTAAATAAAAAGTTGAAAAAATTTAGATGTTCTAAAGATTGACCAAACATAATGGAACTTTGTTAATAATCTTCTTAATCAAATTCCAAAATTAATTTTGGAATTTTTAACCTTTTAAAAAAATTTTTAAAACAAACAGATAAAAATGTTTAAATGTTTCAAGTTTCGTTTCTTAAGATTGAACAAGAGGAACTTTTGCTGATAATCTTCTACATAAATTTTAAAAATAATTTTATTTTTAGATATTTTTAGACTTTCATTTTATGAAAGTCTCCAATTTATATTTTTTTTGATAAAAAAAAAATATTTTAAAATAAGAAGATATCATAAAAGTCACGTTTTTAACTTTAAAAAAAGGCTTTATACATAATACAACTGTATAATGAACATATCCAAATATTTTGTGTGTTTCATTGGTTGGTCATTTGGCATGGGGGGGGGGGTAACATTGACCCCCCCCAAACATTTTATGTTTTTCATTAGTTAAAGGAATTGAGTCTTTGCCACAAACTCAAATTTTATAATCCCTAAATCTTTGCAACATGATGGTGCAAACCTTACATATTTAAAACTTGATATATTTGATCTAACAGAATTCATAGTGTTTCAAAGATTATGGTTTAGAAAATCAGAGCTTTAGCCAAAGACTCAAGCCAAAGATTCAAGCCAAAGGTTCAAGCCAAAGATTCAAGCCAAAGACTCAAGCCAAAGATTCAAGCCAAAGACTCAAGCCAAAGATTCAAGCCAAAGGCCTTTGTTAAAATAATTAAATGATTCAATAATTCAATACGTGACATGTGTGTTATACAAATTGACTTCAAATAAAATATGAATGAACTCCATTACAAAATCAAACTGCTTATCATTATTTGTTTTTGACAAAAAATAAAAAAATATTTCAGAAAACATGAAGATACGGTATGAGGAAGGAAGTTATGATGGTGAGGTGAATGATGCAAAAACTCCTGAAGGAAAAGGAACTTTTGAATACAGGTCGGACTAGATTAAGCGTGAAATATATCCGTCCTATATCTCTTTATTTCAGTCCCAGCTAATCCTTTCTCTCTTAAAAGATAATATTAATTTTTTATTCTCTGGTGTCTCTCACGATAAACTAAGGGTTAATACACTAACTCTTATTCCTTCTATACAGGCTATCTTAGCTTGACTGCATTAGGGATAACTCCTTTACGATAAAAACTAGTTTGAATTTTAAGTTATGCATCTAGTTTGAACTGAAATTTATTGTTTAAAGGTTACAAAAATATATTAATACGTTTTGCAGGTAGTTAAATAACAATAGTAGCCTGCGGGTCAATAGCCCCAGACCAGCATAATCTTGATCTCTGTAATCTCCCCTGCACCTTGTATTGGGTTTTTTATTTCAAACGTCCCGTCCACACAAAGTCGCCGCTTTAGTGATTTTAAATCTAACCAGATGGAGTCTAAAGTCAGACTACGTCGACGCTTTAGTGATTTTAAATTTAACCAGATGGAGTCTAAAGTCAGACTACGTCGACGGCTAGTCCCTGTCTCCAGAGCTATAGACCAACATTATTGACTCTTGCCGTAAGTCTGCCAGTGTACATGACTAGGCATTTCAAACTGGTCTACTCTACACCGGTATCCTGACTGGGCAGTACGATGGACTGCATATACAGTACGTGTTGTACCGGCACGGATCATGCTACTTTTATACTGGGGTGATGTACGCGACGTCATATACTTGTATTTATCTTGGCCTTTGTATGGCTCTTTGTAATGTATATATTATTAAAGTTTATCAGTTCAAGAAATTTCATATTTATGTTGAATTATGTCACATTTTAACACTTTTTTTTCAAAAATACTTTTTTATGGAGGAATAAAGCCGCCTATGATGTAAGGTTTATGATATATTATGTAGGGGGGATGATGACAATGGAAGAATAAAACTGCCCATAATATAAGGTTAATGCTATATTGTGTAGGGGGGATGAGGAGAATAGAATAATAAAGCTGCCCATGATGTAGGGTTAATGATATATTGTGTAGGGAGGATGATGAGAATGGAAGAATAAAGCTGCCCATAATGTAGGGTTAATGATATATTGTGTAGGGGGGATGATGAGAATGGAAAAATAAGGCTGCCTATAATGTAGGGTTAATGATATAATGTGTAGGGAGGATGATGAGAATGGAAGAATAAAGCTGCCCATAATGTAGGGTTAATGATATATTGTGTAGGGGGGATGATGAGAATGGAAGACTTATCTATGAAGGAGAATGGAAGAATAAAGCTGCCCATGGTGTTGGGTTAATGATATAATGTGTAAGGGGGATGATGAGAATGGAAGAATAAAGCTGCCCATGGTGTTGGGTTAATGATATATTGTGTAGGGAGATTATGAAAATGAAAGAAAAAGCTGCCCATGGTGTTGGGTTAATGATATAATGTGTAAGGGGGATGATGAGAATGGAAGAATAAAGCTGCCCATGGTGTTGGGTTAATGATATATTGTGTAGGGAGATTATGAAAATGAAAGAAAAAGCTGCCCATGATGTAGGGTTAATAATATATTGTGTAAGGGGGATGAGGAGAATAGAATAATAAAGCTGCCCATGGTATAGGGTTAATTATATGTTGTGTAGGGGGGATGATGAGAATGGAAGAATAAAGCTGCCCATGGTGTAGGGTTAATGATATATTGTGTAGGGGGGATGATGAGAATGGAAGAATAAAGCTGCCCATGATGTAGGGTTAATAATATATTGTGTAGGGGGGATGATGAGAATGGAAGACTTATCTATGAAGGAGAATGGAAGAATAAAGCTGCCCATGGTGTTGGGTTAATGAGATGGCAGAATGGCGACAGGTAAAAAATCCATCAAACTTAAATTTTCTAATCCAAATATCTTTGCAACCTGATGGTGTAGACCTCTCATTTGTGAAACTTTGACAAAAACAATTTTTATCGGACTTCATATTAAACATGTCTACATGTAATAGCTTATTCAAATTATTTAAAGATGTTTCATTTTAAATATTTATGTTAGGGTCATGAAAATGGAAGCTGAATGGCGTCACTATGTGTTATATATTATTCTAACTATTATCAAAAAGTTTACTGTACTATATTATATCTTCAAATAAAAAAATATCTAGTTACATATATTAGCGATTCCAAACAGTTTTGTTCTTCTCAATAGATGCATGCGATTTCAATCTGACACGCAATTTACTTCAGTTTGATATGTAATTTTTTGAGGGAACCCATAGGTATCCCGGTGGTAACATAGGCTAAAAATCATTTTTATTTAAAGTGGTAATTTGTTTCTGATTTTTCTGTTTCTCTAGTTAAGCAACCACTCCAGTTTTATACCGGAGACACGTATGGAAGCTCCAGGATAAGAGACTAACTTTGGAACCCTTACCTCTCTAAATTCATTCCCAAGGAATGATGAAATTATTAGTCGAAAAGGAATGATGAAATTATTGGTCGAAATGAATGATGAAATTATTGGTCAAAAAGGAATGATGAAATTATTGGTCGAAAAGGAATGATGAAATTATTAGTCGAAAAGGAATGATGAAATAGTTGGTCGAAAAGGAATGATGAAATTATTAGTCGAAAAGGAATGATGAAATTATTGGTCGAAAAGGAATAAATAATTATATTTTTATAAATTCTGTTTTGTAAAGGTATGATGGGGAATGGGAGGATGGAATGAGAAGTGGAAAGGGAAAATATATAAGTAAAGCAACCGGTGGAGTTTACGAAGGAGAATATCAAGCAGATTTAAAGGTAATAAAAATATTTGTAATTAGTGTAGTGATTTTTAGTGGTACTACTATATAAAAAGTGACATAATTCAACCATTGAGAAGGGTACTATGAAAACTTTTATCATATCATATAAATCAGGGAGATAGGGTGGAATTTTTTTGGGTGGCTTCAGCATTGATTGCTAAGAATATTCCCGATTCAATTGTGAATTTGTTAATGACCATTTTACTACTTTTCGATACAGAAATTTACTTAATAATTAAAGCACTAATTTATAATTAATTTTGTTTTTAATCTGTAAATGAAGATTGAATTAAGTAGCAAAACACACGAACGTGTATTAAAAAATTGACGAAAACGTTTTAAAACTGTTTTTTATTCTGTTTTATTTTTTTCAGGCTGGGTTCGGAAAATATAGTTTCACTAATGGTGATTATTACGAAGGAAACTGGAAGAATGGGCTTAGGAATAATTCATTTATTATTATTATGATTATTATTATTAATATTATTATTTTATTATTATTATCATTATTATTATTATTATTATTATATCCCAAACTGAAGTAATGAATGAATGAATGAATGTAGGCATGGTAAAGGCATCTATGTGTGGAAAGAACTAAAGGAAAAGTACGGACAAAAGACGACATTTTGGAATATTTCAACGCCAAAAGCTTGACCATATTCCTAGACAAAAAAAAACATTTACTAACCCTGTCATGTTATGGGATGGAAAAATGTTTCTTATTTTCCACCCGGTAATGAATACAAACAAAAAGGACTGTCCGGAAATTCTTAGCGATTCTCCATGTAAGAAGTGTGTCATAGAAATTGAAACAAATTCAACAACGTTTTCCTCCATCAACATTAAATAAAAATGCCGGACTAACATTTCTAAGATAACTGAAAAAATCCTTGATGGTACTTTTTATGTAGAGAATCACATAAAATTGCGTTACATTTCAATTTCGAGCACCAAGACAACAAATGACCTATTTAGTCGTATCATAAATATCTACGTCACAGTTTAAGAATCAATCTTTTTGTAAAAAATTTGAAACAAATCAATTCAGTATCCGGAAATACAAGGTTACTATAAGACGACGTCACAGAATTTATTTCACCTTATTTCGTATTGTCTCGTCTAATCCATTCGTAAACCATACCATGTTCTAAACAAATTAGGATCTGTTCAGTTCAACCGTTTTTATACGGATCAGATAAAGGAATTGAGTCTTTGCCACAAACTCTGATTTTCTAATTTCTCTATCTTTGGAACCCTGTGTTGATGACCATAGATATTTCAAAATATGATTTTTATTCGATTAAATATCAAGATGAAATATCAAAGACTTACACCATCAGGCTGCAAAGGGGGAAATATTCTAGTTTGTGGCAAAGACTCAACTCCTTTAATTCAAGTAATTTTAAATATTTTTAGAAAGTTCTGTCAACTCTGTAAATGTATAAATGCAGACAGAAAAACATGTTTATTCTTTATAAAGTTCACATCAAGACCCCCCTCCATGCCCTTAAACTAGTATCGTTAATTTTGTGTAGAGTATCGTTAATTTTGTGTAGAGTATCGTTAATTTTGTGTTTAGTATCGTTAATTTTGTGTAGAGTATCGTTAATTTTGTGTAGAGTATCGTTAATTTTGTGTACATTATTGTTAATTTTGTTTAGAATATCGTTAATTTTGTGTAGAGTATCGTTAATTTGTGTAGAGTATCCTTAATTTTGTGTAGAGTATCCTTAATTTTGTGTAGAGTATCGTTAATTTTGTGTAGAGTATCGTTAATTTTGTGTAGAGTATCGTTAATTTTGTGTAGAGTATTGTTAATTTTGTGTAGAGTATCGTTAATTTTGTGTAGAGTATCCTTAATTTTGTGTAGAGTATCCTTAATTTTGTGTAGAGTATTGTTAATTTTGTGCAATATTGTTAATTTTTAACGCTTGATCTCGATTCTAATAAGGGCACAATTGAATTCAATAAATGTGGAACTAACATCTTCTCTTTTACTCTACAGAGGTTTGGTCCATCACCATCACCGAATTTTAAATTGAATTCGTTACTTAATAAGCGTTATCCCTGCAGTGAATCAACCCACAACGGGATAAAAAAAAAAATTAATCCGCAGATTATCAAACAAAAGTTCAAACTTCTGAATGTTTTAAAATAAAATAAATTTTAAATCTTAAATCTCTTGAAAGAAAGATTGATTCTCAAAAATAAATCTATATTTAAAATATCATAATGAGAAAATATGATTAAAAACTTTAAACTAATTGCGTCTTAGATATTTTAAATGTTCTTCAAATTTCTATCAGTGTTCTTTAAAAATCAAATAGGGTGCCAGACTAAAAAGCAAATGATAATGATAAATATTTAATTTGTTAGACATTCGGATTTCTGTTAAAAATTACAAGGTCAAAATCTGTTGATAATGACGAATTTACAACAAGAAATGTTAAATTTTTTTAATGGTTTAGACAAAATGTTGGCACCCACGTTTTACAAACATTTTTACGCGGGAAACTAAAAAAATGGAAAAGATAATTTTTTTGTTGTTATTTCTGAGCAATTTCACTTTCCTCTGAACGTATAGATCTAAAAGTACAGTACAGTACAGCACAGTACAGTACAGTACAGTGCAGTACAGTACAGTACAGTGCAGTACAGTACAGTACAGTACAGTACAGTACAGTACAGTACAGTACAGTACAGTACAGTACAGTACAGTACAGTACAGTACAGTACAGTACAGTACAGTACAGTACAGTACAGTACAGTACAGTACAGTACAGTACAGTGAAGTACAGTACAGTATAGTGAAGTACGGTACAGTACAGTACAGTACCATTAAGTGCCGTGCAATTAATGACAAAGCTTTGAACTAAAATCAATGTTGTCTTTGGCTTACTGGATACAATTAAAATCATAATAAACCAAAAAAAGTTTTAAAAATGCGTTGAATTACTATCATATTTTTGAAATGTTTAAGTTGAAGTCGAGAATATCGAAGTCGCAGACTTTTATTAAATTTAGTTCACACTAATAAACATAACACATGTACAGTGTGTCCCAAGCAAGACGATTTGAAGGACGTCTATGATCTTTAACATAATTTCGACATTTATTCCTTAAACTAATCTTAAAAGTATAATAATCACAAAACACTCCTAAATTTAGCATTTCCAAATTTTGGTCTGCCTTTTTGTGCTTTAAATATTACCGGTCAGATTTCGACCAGTTTTCGGTTCATTTAATAAAATTAAAATGTAAACGAAATTCTTAGTATCTCAGGTAATATTAACAGAACAAAAAAGGCCGACCACATTTTGAAATTTTGCTACATGAACCATACATTCCAAATATAGGTTGACGATTAAATGTCACAAATAAATTCAATGTCAGATGCGACATTCAAGTTGTCTTGCAACTGCCATTTATCGTGGAACACGCTGTGCTTAATCATCGACATGAATTATTTTGTACATATCTTAACATATAGACATTAGATTATGTATATAGACAATTAGACATATAAACATGAAATAAACATGCACATATAAACACATGAACATACATATTTTTAATTTCAGCGCTGAAAGTATTGAAGAAATAGGAAGGTTTGTATCACATTTTCAGCATGGACAAAAAATACATTTTAAAAAGTATTTGGAAAAAAGCTAAAATTCTAATTTAACTTGGGAAAAATTTTTGGTCATTATCTCACAATTTACTTTTTTGTAAGTGATAAATTTTTCCCGAATACTTGTTTATGTACAAGTAACACAATATCTTTGCATGTACAAGTAACATGGTATGCGCAACTAAAATAATCATTATTAAAAGTGACATATTTTTTTAAACAGAACTTTTTTCCATAACGACCTTTGATAGCTTTTGATACTAACTTTGAATCTTTGAAGGAACTGTTTAGGTAAAATAAAGGGGGTTTAGGCTGAAGCCTAAATATTTTAAAAGTTGATCGCGACCAATATTAGTTCTTTTTGATCTAGATCTTGAAAAATTGATAAAAACTGTGTTAAAGTTATACATATATATATTTGATATGTGCGACGGAGCCATGTGACCATATACTGCACTGCCATTGGTGGACATTTTTGTCACATAATACAGACGTAAAAATTATATTTTAAATTACATATATTAAAATTTAATGAATATTGTATTCAAATATTATAGGACCTTACCTAAAATTTTTAGGCATCTCTGGGTCATCCTTATTTTCAGATTTGTTCCATTATTTGATAAAATTATAGGTTTAATACTTTGATTCTTATACCCCATCACATTAATAAGTTTTGGTATAACTTTGACACAGTTTTATATCAATTTCACGAGACAGGGACATCAGATAGAACTAAAATTGGCCATGATCAACTCCTAAAATATTTAGGCTTTGGCCTATACCACCTTTCATTTTACCTGAACAGTCCCCTTAAAATAAGAATTTACATGATTCAAAATTTAAAATAGATCCAAAGTTTAATGTAATGAAATTCTAAATAAAAGATGATTTTTTTCCAAAATAAATCTTGTGGTTTGTGGACAGGGTATTCAAAATTTACAAACACATTTTCTCAGAAAATAACGGTCGTAATCAAAAGGTTTTTTTTCGACATTTTTATTATTCATTTTTTTATTTTTAAGATAAGTTTTTGTTTGCTTATACTTGCTGACTTGAATGCTCACGTAGAAAGAATAATAAACAAAATTTCCTAGAAATCTTTTACATTTTATGAATGAATTCGGAATGAGGTATATATATATATATATATATATATATATACACTCTAAAAAATGCAATTTTGGTCTTTAGCATCAGGCAACAAAGTTCTTCTTTCATATTTCAAATTTCTTCTTTCATTACTCAAATTTTGATGAATATTTTCCAAATTTACAATCTANAACTGAGAAAGCTGTAATCTGTAAGAGTTTCGTCTGCTATGTTCACATTTTGTTTGTTTATGTTTTGACTGCATACGGTTGTACTTAATAAAACAAGAAAATTGCAGTATACAAACAGAGTAAACTTGTCCGTATTCACTGTTTATCTTGCGGAGACATTATAAACACATCTTTACAGTCTTTTACCATTTTCATAAAATAAACTCTATCAGACATAATAATATTATGGCTTTTGAAATTAGGTATTACAATGCTAATTCATAACAAAGACGATATCCAATTCGTCACTGAACTCCCATGTTTGTGGGACACCCTGTAGAAAAGAAAATGCTATGATCTATAAACATTAAATAAAAATGTTAACAATACTTTAATAATTTAATATTATTTTTGCTAAGGTATGAAGGTGACTGGGAGAAGGGATTAAAACAAGGAACAGGAAAATTTTCCTACCCTAATGGAGATGTGTTTACGGTAAGATACCCATAAGATTGACCAAATATAAATATTACAAAATGTAAATTGACCAAAGCTGAAACTCTCATATTGTGGATAGCGATATCAATGCACGGTAAATTAGTTATCTTCCTCAAATTAGAAGTGCTCACAATAGATATCAAGAAAAAGCGAGTAACCAATATAAAAGTTCCCAGCTCAAATGTATGCATATTGTATAAAAACGGTTGAAGGTATGGCACACCAAACCAAATTTTGGACTAATCAACCAAAGTTGACAAAACTTAAAGGTAGTGTTCGCGAAAAATGAAAGGGGGTACAGGCTTAATGCGAAAAAAAGCGCTTAATATTTCATAATATTTTTGATTTTTTTTTAATAATTTTCGCTGGCGCTGGATTTTCAAACATTCCTGGAAAATATGAAAATGTCGTCTTCATTATCAAAAATCCTCGAAACAGGAATAAATGTTTTCAAACGTAACTCTCAGATCATGAAAAATACAAAATATTATGAAATATTAACTATTTACGAATGCGTCGAAAAATAATCGATAACTATTGTTTGTAATATCTGAATGATTTGTTTGAAATTAAATTGATTTGTTTACGATCCGAGTTGATTGTTGCATCTTTCTGAATTTGTATGGACACTACGGTCTTCGGTATTAGTCGTTGTTAAAAATTTTCTCCTTTTAGACGCAACAGATAGAAGTAAGATTAGTAGCGATCAAAAGCGCTTTTTTATCGCATTAAGCCTATACCCCCTTTTTCGCGAACACTTTTAAATTGACGAAATGTGTCTACTGTGTTCAAACTTCTCCTATTTTCTTTCACTCATTGTCTGGGTCTGATCTCTATCAGATAGGTCTTTTATCTTCCTCATTATATGAAAACTTTTTATCAACTGAAGAAAAGTTTTAATCGGAAAATTCTTTATTTTATCTGCATCCAGAATATGCTACATGCATCCTAACCTAAATTGCGATTCATCACTTTCCGGCTTTCAATGAAATATACATTTAAATTTAAATTTTAAATTTACGTCACTTCCTTCATAGGCGCGTTAATTTATTTCTTCAATTCATTTCTTCATCATTTGTTATTGAGCGATTTGTTTGTTTCAGGCTTTCAATTGGATCGTTTGATCGATTAGTATAACTATTTATAATACTGTTATTTTGGTTCGCAGTGTTATAAAGTTTTTGGACAGAAATTTTCTCTTCATCAAGAAGGTTCAAGCCTTTTTAGATTTAATTTTTTCCCGAGCTTTATCGTCGCGCCAAAATAATAGTGTTATAGGTAATTTTATGAAACGTTTGTGTACTTGTCTTCTTTCAATGGGTGTTTCTAGATCAAATAAGCTTTGAAACAAAGCAGAAGTCAAAATATAAAGTTGATTTCAATTTTATTTTCATTTTAATTGAAAAAAATATTTTGGAAATATCCTAAATTTTTTAGAGAAAATCCGGGAACCAATCAAAACTTTATAGTACATTATAGCACGATGATTACTTTATAGCACGTTCATTAAGAAATTCATGAGGAAGTGACTATAGCGAGTAATAATGATAAAGTACAACTAAATGATGCGTTTCATAAAAAAATTATACTTTTTTCAAAAGTTCATTTTTTCTAAAAAAAAACTGGGCTATATAAAGTGATAGGCCTGTATACTAAGAAAATTAGTTATACAGTGGTAGGCATATAAACTAAGAAACTGAGCTATACAGTGGTAGGCCTTTAAACTAAGAAACTGGACCATACAGTGGTAGGCCAATATATCAATACAACTGTTCAGGGACCTTATGAGAACGGGAACAGGCACGGCAAAGGAGAACTCGTAAAGATTGATGGAGAGGTGGGTTTAAGAACTCTTATTAATGGAACTGTATGTGAACATAATCTCGATTCAATCTCAAAATGAAATAAACCAATCCCTAAATAAGGATTTCTCATTCACGTTTAAAAAAAATAAAAATTGAAATTAAATCCCTTTATAAAGGTGCCATTACAGCCGGTCAATGGTGTCTTTATAGCCGGTGAATAGTGCCATTACAGCCGGTCAATAGTGTCATTACAGCCGGTCAATGGTGTCATTACAGCCGGTCATTGGTGCCATTACAGCCGGTCAATGGTGTCATTATAGCCGGTCAATAGTGTCATTATAGCCGGTGAATAGTGCCATTACAGCTGGTCAATAGTGTTATTACAGCCGGTCAATGGTGTCATTACAGCCGGTCAATGGTGCCATTACAGCCGGTCAATGGTGTCATTATAGCCGGTCAATGGTGTCATTATAGCCGGTCAATGGTGTCATTATAGCCGGTGAATAGTGTCATTACAGCCGGTCAATAGTGTCATTACAGCCGGTCAATGGTGCCATTACAGCTGCTCAATGGTGTCATTATAGCCGGTCAATGGTGTCATTACAGCCGGTCAATGGTGCCATTACAGCCGGTCAATGGTGTCATTATAGCCGGTCAATGGTGTCATTACAGCCGGTCAATGGAGTCATTATAGCCGGTCAATGGTGTCATTACAGCCGGTCAATGGAGTCATTACAGCCGGTCAATGGTGTCATTACAGCCGGTCAATGGTACCATTACAGCCAATAATGTTGAAACTAGCGTCGTTTTTCTAACTTGAAAAGGTCTTATTTCTAATAATTTCTCCATTTGTTCTGAAGCAAAAATTTCCCAAGTCATACTTGATCAGACACAGCTTTAAGGTGCCATTGTGAATCTAGATGATATCTAGTTGATGCATGATCAGACAAAGTTTTTTCTAGTTCATACTTGATCAGATAAAGCTTGGAGGGTACCATTGTGAATCTAGATGAATGAAGATATCCTTGAAATTATGTTCACCGTTCATATAAAAGGGACTGTAAGCGTATTTTCCAGCGACCCTCCATGCAAAGATGTCAATGCCCGATTTACATATACAGTGTTGTATGATAGTATGAAATAGATATTCATGGTTTTGTTTCTTCAAACTGTTTATTTTTATTTGGGGGTTCTCTGTCGAAGTGACTTGTAAGGAGCACAATGGAGAAACTCACAGAAATAAACACTTTTTGAGTCATAACAACAATGATATCTAACACATTTTTAATTAGATTAAAGATTTTAAAACATTAAAAACACGTAAAATGTTTCATATTTTCAGGTTCGTACAGAAAACTATAAGGAGGGAAAACTGGTAAACTTCACTGTAACCAAGGAGAAATCTACATAAAAGAACAAACTATTAAATTGTGTTAATTTTAAATTTATCTTTGAAAAATCCACATAATCGATTCATGAAATAAATCCATATTATTTGTCATGTAAACACGTAAAAAAAATAATTAAGTCAGGTTAAAAGATTAAATCATAATGTCTGTTTCAAAATGATAAAAAGCTAGTCTAACACGATATACAAATACATTAAAATTCCTATTTCACTTAAAGGGAGTGTTCGCGAAAAAATGAAAGGGGGTATAGGCTAAAGGGTAATATGAACCATCATCAGTTTGAGAAAATTAGTCTCAAGCTAAAAACGACGAAATCTTCCTAACAGTTCTCCAAGTAAAAGGTTTAAAAACAATGTATATTAGTAAGCGATTATATCATACAATGAAGACGACTTTTTTATTTAAGTTTTGATCGTTTGCAAGCTTTTTTTAAAGGAGAGCCTTTTATAATTGACATCTTGATTTCAAAGTTTATGTGTATCAATGCTGTTAAATAGCTTTATATAAATCAAAATTGAAGTCAAAAGTCGTATTGATACTAATGCAAGGAAAGTTATTTCAGAGGTGTTTTTTGTACTGCAGTGTACTGTACTGTCTTTGGGCGGAAAAGTAAACACAAGGCGGATGTCACAGCCTGGCGGAACCCATTTTCAGAAAAATAAACTATTATGGGAATTTTCAAAACTGTCAAAATTAAAAGCTTTTAACCTCTTCGGATACTAAACGAACACTGTTGCATCTATTCTTGTTTACAAATTTCGCCCAGAGAGAACTGGTTTCAATATGTACGCAGAGTATACACAACCGCAATTAACGTTCCTTGCATTAGTACCTTGATATCTATCATGTTTTCACTCATAACTCCTATTATTGAAGAGCTTTCGTAAGTATTTTGAATTTCTTAGTCGTAACTGGATAAATTTTATAAACTCATATATTTCTGTTAAATCAACTAGAGGAGCTACGAGGTCATAAAGTTGTAACAACGCAATAATGAAATTGTTCAGTTGAATATTTCTCTAACAACTTCTTGTGTTAAGTTTATCAGCTACTTTTAATATTGAATATCAGCTTATTTTTTTATTATGCCAGCTTTTTATATTGAACTTATCAGCTACTCTTAGTATTAAATATCAGCTCCTATTTAAAATAAATTATGTTAGCTTTTTTATATTGAACTTATCAGCTACTTCCTTATACTAAATATCAGCTTATTATGTATTGAATTCAGCTTCTACTTATATTGCATATCAGCTCCTTTTTAAATTAAACCATATCAGCTTTTTATATTGAACTTATCAGCTTAGACTGAAGATCAGTTTATTATATTGAATCTATCAGCCTCTTCTAACATTCAATCAGATTAACTCTTATTTGAATTAAATTTATCAGTCAATTTAAGTGAAATGAATAAGCAACTTATTGCAAAACATTAATCCAGCTCCTTTTTGTATTGAATTACGCCAGAAAAAAATACATCCTGTTCTCTCCTCAGCATATTAAAAATAAATCTCTGCATCATGGTCTACGCGGCAATAAGAGAATATCTTTCAGCCTCCCTCCATTCTCACACACACATTGGAATACACTGGAGAGGTTTCGTGATTTTATAAGATTTTTTGTACAGACTTTTTACCTACAAGTAACAACCATGATATAATTACAATCTGAAAAGAAATAAAGTGTGCTTTAGCTCTAGCATCCTAATAAAAGAAAAACGATTATCTTCTTTTCTAATAATTTATTTGTTTCTTAAGAGCACGAAATGCGCAAATCACTGAGGGATACCTACTGTGGAAAAATGGATTAAAATCTATTCCATATTTATTAAGTATCGTTGAGAGTACAATTGTACAGTTGTACATAAGTTGCCGCATTGCATTAAGGTAAAATAAAATTGTGCTTACTGATCCTTAAAGAAAGAGAGCAAAATAATGGTTCATATAATTATGAGACACCAAATAAAATTCGGCAAAATAGAATGCAGTCGCTTCAGGATAAACTTCTCAATTTCATACGATACTTGATGAATATATGCTTAGCTTTCACAGTATTATGATTTCAAGGGTACCTTTGTGAATCAACATTACAATCTTTAAATAATAGGTAACTAAAAACGCTTCGAGTGCTCAAACTTTCAACTTTAGAAGTCAGGGTTACCCAAACAGACGATTGTACGGAAATTCTTCGGTCCATTGTTTAATAATTGTAGGCTTGTAGGCCAGAACTAGCTTATACAGGGTGTCCCAATAAACATGGGAATTCAGTGACGAATTCAATATCGTCTTTTTAGATAATTCTTTGATTTAGTATAGTAATACCTACTGAGAAAGCTATAATCTGTAAGAGTTTCGTCTGCTATGTTCACATTTTGTTTGTCGTTTTGACTGCAATAGGTTGTACTTAGTAAAACAAGAAAATTGCAGTATACAAACAGAGTAAACTTGTCCGTCTTCACTGTTCATCTTGAAGACTTGCAGATACATTATAAACACATCTTTGGAGTCTTTCACCATTTTCATAAAATAAATAATGATATTATGGCTTTTGAAATTAGGTATTACAATATTAATTCATAACAAAGACGATATCGAATTCGTCACTGAATTCCCATGCTTTTTGGGACACCCTGTATGTATGGTAAATGATTGAATGCCGAAACCAAAAATCAAGCTTCAATAAGTCATATTTTTAGAGTTTTAGGTCGTCTTTACAGTCTCATTTGTCGGAAACCCTGTACATAAAATAAAAATACTTTCTATAAATAAAAAGTAGAGAAGTAGAGAAGGTCTTGTGCTCTTCCTTGAGTGGGATTTCGAACCCGTGGATGATGGATCCCAGGATCTCCAGCAGGTCAGCCACACCGTTGTGTCTCAGTCTCGTAAAGCTGTAGAAATATTGTTGATCTCTTCCCTGATATAGGCCGGAGTCCTAAAAATTTCCTGTATATTCGGTGTTAACTGGTTTTCAGGAAATCACGCTCTCTGATAAAAATCATACAAGACCTGAGGCCGAATATAAAGAACTTGAGCCGCAGCTCAAATATAGATGCCATTTCAAATATGCAAAAATATTTGCAAAATTTTAAATAACCTGATTTTTAATCAAGAAACTAAAAATGTGCAAATTTCCTTTGACAGGTTGTTTGCAAAAAATTTGCAATTTTTTTTTCGCAAAACTTGTGCAATCCGTTTCCTTATGTCAAAGGCTTTCCAAAAAGCTAATTTTTTTTAAAATCTGACAAGTGAAAGTGGGTCAAAACAAAGATTTAGTTTGGTACAGGCAAAAGCAGTCATTCAGGCAGTGTGCCTGAGGACTCAGGCAGTTAGTATTAAAGCCCGGTTTTAGGCCTAAAGGGAGGGCTTTGGGTATGTAAGAAAAGTCAAAAATTATTGGTCTGAGGCTGTTGAAATTTTCTGAGTTATGTAAAAAAAACTACAGGGGGGGGGTCAAATTGGCCCCCCCCCCCCAGCAGGAATAGGGTTAAGTATATTGTAACAATGGGCGATTTTGTTGATCTTTTACGATCGGCAATTCAAGGATTTTTTAGATCGCTGAGATCATAGCTACCTAGGAGTATCATGCCCCCCCCTTTCACCCTTCGGTTGGACTTTTGAATCCTATTTTGAATCCTAACACTGCGATTTAATGGTCTCACGCTCTCAAGCAAAAATCGTTGAGAATTTTGCCAATAACTTTTAGAAAACCACATCTAACAACAAGTGCTTTACAGTGCTAAAATGTACATGTAAAGGGCTACAGAAAAGCATAAGTGAGTTAGAGCGGTAAAATTTAAGCTTAGGGCGTTGCGACACTTCAAAGTCAGCCCTGTCTTAAAAATTGATGAGACTGTTTATAAGGAGGCTGAATCTATGTGCTAACGGATTTAGTTGAGTTTGCATGTGAATTCTATAAATAACCCAAGCCACGCGGAGAAATCGAAGCCAAGCGCCAAGTTCCGTTATTCCAGAAACCCGGGGGCTGGTGGGCTAGTCGGCCAGCCCACGGGGTACTAGGGTTAAAATGCTAGTTGATGGTGGAGCGAAATCTGGGGGAATAGAATCAGTTGATCGTCAGCTCCCTTAACCTGAGGTTCCCTTGAAGATTCCCCATCACTCTGAAACTGCTTCAATTCATAATATTTTGATTAGTATAGTATCAACCTCTTTAAGTTTGTATTTTGTAAATAATAAACTGTAAGAAAAACCCACTCGTTGAATATCATAAGACAAGTGTAATGCATTGATTTATTTTTCTTTCATATATAATAATATCAAAAACAAATTGACAGCACTGGCAATGGTAACAAGAAAAATATGTAACTAAGCTATACATTCAAAATAAGTATCTCACCTTGACAAAGATAGATTCAAGACAATAATCAAAAAGAGTTCTATCAGCTACTCCGGTTCTTAAATCCCTGTACTGGTCCTTACAGGTCTAGGAGAAATAATTCTAATAACGCAACCTTATGAAAGGTAAACATAACTAAAATACATTGGCTTAAACAAAAGATTAACTAAACCAAAAAGGTAAGTCTGCCAAAAATAGAAATATTTCGAGAAGGAAATGCTAAAAATTTAAATGAAAAACTGCTTACCTCATTATTAACATCCAACAGTTCAATAGCAGACAGAACATGATACTTATAGTCTACACAAGCATCTTCAGAACGGGAAGTCTAAAAATCATGTTGGGAACTATTCATGCTTTAAAAGATTATACCCCTAAAACTAGAATTTGGGCTAAGTTAAGAACAAGTATCCCAATCAAAATTTAAGACAAATCAAGGAGTTCATGAGTTGTTATTGGACATCCAAAAAGACAGAATACTACTTTATTAATATATGTTACTCACCTTGTAAGAGTCAACTACTATTAAATCCATAGTCTTAGATTCAATCGGAGTAATCACATCTTTGCTTACAAAAACATCTTTATATCCTTTATACCCAGTAACTTCCATGGGATGAGAAACTTTCCTTGTACCAGGTTTGTAGGAAGATTCAGCAGAATACTTAGGTTGGCCTCTAAAATAGAAAAATTGAATATTTAGATATATATATCTTAACATTAGAAATTAATGGAAATCAAAGTCATACCTAGCCGCATATCCATAATATCCATCAGCCTCAGCCCGACGATAAAGAAGATCTGGCTTTGGGGCATCTTTGTAACTGGAATCCATGTAGCTGGGCTCCTTGTAGCTGGCATAAATCTCCTTGTAGCTGGCATCAATCTCCTTGTAGCTGGGCTCCTTGTAGCTGGCATCAATCTCCTTGTAGCTAGGTTCCTTGTAACTGGGCTCCTTGTAGCTGGCATCAATCTCCTTGTAGCTGGGCTCCTTAGCTGGCATCAATCTCCTTGTAGCTGGCATCAATCTCCTTGTAGCTAGGTTCCTTGTAGCTGGGCTCCTTGTAGCTGGCATCAATCTCCTTGTAACTGGGCTCCTTGTAATTTTGCAAATATTTTTGCATATTTGAAATGGCATCTATATTTAAGCTGTGGCTCAAGTTCTTTATATTCGGCCTCAGGTCTTTTATGATTTTTATCAGAGAGCGTGATTTCCTGAAAACCAGTTTACACCGAACACAGGAAATTTTTAGGACTCCGGGCCTATATCAGGGAAGAGATCAACAATATTTCTACAGCTTTAAGAGACTGAGAGACACAACGGTGTGGCTGACCTGCTGGAGATCCTGGGATCCATCATCCACGGGTTCGAAATCCCAATCAAGGAAGAGCACAAGACCTTCCTTCAAGGTGCTGTTGCCGTTGCATAAAGTGCAAAGTCTGTCGAGTACCATCCAGAGCTAGCGTACTGCGTTGTAGCGTTTTTAGAGAAGGATCCATCTCTCAATGAACCTCATGCATACGCTTTTTAATAGTATAGTATCCATCACTGATCTCTGGCAATCCCTAAAAATTCAAAAAAAACAATTAGTTAACAACAATAGCTAAAACGTGTCAAACACCATAAGTACAGTGGTAGGCGATTTTATCAATACAATTTTTTTATTTAAGTGGATTGTTTACAAGCTTTTCTCGAATTACAAGTTTACAAGTAGTCAAAGAAAAGCTTTTTTAATCAACAAACTATGCTGTTCAAAAGCTTGATTACATCAAAATTTAAATCCGAAGTCGTCTTCATTGTTTAAATATAATCGCTTACCACTGCACTGTATATATTAGGAAATCATGATAGTGGGGGAAAATCAAACTTTTAAGAAAGCACTTGAATTCAGTAACTGAATTCAATATCCACTGTCAATAGTATTGAATTCAGTAACTGAATTCAATATCCACTGTCAATAGTATTGAATTCCGTAACTGAATTCAATATCCACTGTCAATAGTATTGAATTCAGTAACTGAATTCAATATCCACTGGCAATAGTATTGAATTCAGTAACTGAATTCAATATCCACTGTCAATAGTTTCTCATAAACTCTGGTTTACTAATCTTTAAAGCCCAATGTCGTAGACCTTATAGAAACATCAAAGGTTACAAATTAAAAAAAAACACATCAAATATAAAATAGGGATTTGTGGCAAAGACTCAATTCCTGTCTAAATGAAAGGTTCAATTTGTATCTTGAATAATTAAATCATGATGTAAATTTTTCTGTGGTAGAAAATTGAAAAGAAGTTGTCTGAGTACTGGCATATTTATGATAAACAAATTTCAATCCAAAGATTAATTAAAATAACAGATAGAACACTAGATGTCGTCTTTTCAAGATCAAGGGGTTTTTCATTCAGAATAACAATAACAAAACAGTTAGGGATAGTTGGCGTAGAAAAGGCTTTCGCGGTCTTGTAATTCTACGTCGACTTCGTGTAACTCCTTTGGGCTTCTGCCTCAGGGTTATTGAGAACAAAAAATCCCTTAATATCGAAAAGACAACATCCAGTGTCCTGTCTGTTATTTAAATTAATCAATAGTATAAAATCTAACCACATTCATCTTGAGTATTCCTCCTGTGACTGTTCCCAACATCCAGAACAGTAGCAACATACTAAATAATCAAGGTAAAAGATGTCTACAACACAGGGATTTCCAAATGATATTGGATCGTTTAAAGCTATAAACTACAAATTTCGGGACGCTCTGTAATTGTATAATATACATTAATTTGACCAAAATTCAAATAAAAAAGAAAATAAACAGAACTATTTGGATCAATCGTTTTTCATAACTATCATAAAAAACATAAAAAATAAACGAATGTTGACAATTTCAAATAACGATTTTTATTTCTTACTAATTATATTCTTAAAGGATCTCCATCAGGCACCGTGGATTTAATGTAAACCAAACAGTAGCTTATTAAGCAGAATAAAACACAGAAAAACACGATGTTCAAACCACAGAAAACAAAATAACGATTTGATAAATATAAACAAACATATCTTACCTCTGAGCCCGAAATTTAAAAGAGTATCGTAGAACGAAACTCCCGAGTTTCCTTTTTGGGGTCTTAACATTTGTGTAGATTTTGATTAAAGAGATTTTAAAAAATGGAGTATATGAAGAAATTAAATAAAAAACATTTCATATCAAAATATTGATATCCACAAAACTGCCCATAACCCCATTCTTGAAACCCGGGTTTCAAAACTGGTTTTCATAACGATACCTTGTCTTAAGTTTTGGGCTCAGACCTAAGACTAAACTCTACACTTGGATGAGTTGGATCAACTGATTTTACAATTTTAAGAAGTGAGAAAAATTAGCTTTTATTGTGATTTCAAACTTGTTTTCTGTGCAGTACACTTCGTACTGCAGAAATTTAAAACTACAGGGTCAACAACATAGAGAATAGAATAAATAGAGAGGAATTAAAAGAATCTCTCGGTATGAATTGTTTCAGCCTGAAAGGGGGTTCAAAGTGTACAAATCATGTAAATGTTCACAAATTATATGCAGTAGAGTACATTAATACAGTATGTTGCCTATACTATCCATTTCAATTTCGAATTTTTCAAACTGTTAAATAAACTTTATAATGAATTAGGTGAATAAAAACATCATTTAATTTATAGTTATAACGGAAAATCATCGTTTGTAAAGTTGAAGGCATAGAGTCTATGTGAAATGATCATTGGTCAATTATGAAACCAGCCTATTTCATAATTTAGTTTTCTTTTAACAATAATTTTAGATTTTCTATAAAATAATATTCCAGGGCCCAACAGGTTATATAGTATAAATATGTGAAGTACACCTGCAGTATGGAAACAGTACAACAAAATGGCCGTTTTACACTTTTTTCTAGTAAATTCCTCTCTATATATTCTATTCTCTATGGTCAACAATCATCTACATCAAAATAAATATATACAGGGTGTCCCAATAAACATGAGAATTCAGTGACGAATTCGATATCGTCTTTTCAAATAATTCTTTGAGTATAGTGATACCTATTGAGAAAGCTGTAATCTGTAAGAGTTTCGTCTGCTATGTTCACATTTTGTTTGTTTATGTTTTGACTGCATACGGTTGTACTTAGTAAAACAAGAAAATTGCAGCATACAAACAGAGTAAACTTGTCCGTCTTCACTGTACATCTTGCGGAGACTTTATAGACACATCTTTACAGTCTTTCACCCTTTTCATAAAATAAGCTCTAGCAGACATAATAATATTATGGCTTTTGAAATTAGGTATTACAATGCTAATTCATAACAAAGACGATATCTAATTCGTCTCTAAATTCCTATGTCCTTTAGGACACCCTGTACAATCGATTTCCTTCGAGAAAAAGTTCGATGTTTTTCAACAGGGAAAATACTGTCCCAACCCCTGAAATCTACAATGCATAGGCGTTTTTAAATTGCAATTCAATAAGTAGTAAACCCAATATTATTTCACTAAAATATTGTAATCAATATATAGCTGTTTTCGGTGGTTATGAATATTATGATAGCCAGGGGGGGGGGGCTACTCAAAACTACCCCTTCATGGGCTAGCCCCCCTTCCAAAATTGTTTTTGAAAAAAGGCTGTTTTTCAGGATTTGTAGTAAAAAAACATAAGTTTTTAGTTCTTGAAGGGTTGGCTCTGTGCTTAATAATATACCAAATTCTTATAATATCCATGATGGCTTGTTTTTCTGTTTAAAAAATATACATCCTACAGGTTTAAAATGAACGACATAAGTAAATTAATCAAACATGTGCACGAATCGCCGAAAATTTGTTGTTCTTCTAGTGTCCACCTATTGTAGTCTACAACAGTTTTTTTTTTGAATTCATCCACTAGTCATATTTGTCCACTATATAGTCCCTTAATCAGAGGTCTGTGCAGTCCTAAGTAGTTCCTGCACCAGTAAATTGAATATATTTCGATCGTCTGTCCATAATCCATAATAGTTTTTCTGTCGAAGTCCTTATCCCTGTTTTCCTCTCATAGTCTGCAAAAGTCTTAATAGTCCGCTATAATCCTTTTTACATTTCTTGTTATTCTCCTTAGGTTCTAAGGTTGTGTGTAACCTTAAATTGTATATGTATTGTAATACTCATGAAAAGTAACATATATACCAGTTTTTTTGAGAGGATAGATTAAGGATGACTGACTTTCTTGAAGTCGAAAACAATAAAATAGTTAGAAATTCAATTAAAAAAAGATGCACGAAGCGCCTAAGAAAAATCTTGGTATTTTTTTCTATTGATTTGATAAAAGATGGTCCACAATCATGAT